GCATTGGCAGGGGCTGCCCAGGGCAGGGGTCGAGTCCCCACCCCTGGGGGTATTTAAAACCTGGGCAGATGCGGTGCTTAGGGCCAGGGTTTAGCAGTGGGATGGCAGGGTTAGGGTAACAGTTGGGCTGGGTGATTTTAAAGGTCTTTTCCAACCTAAACGATTCCATGATTCTGTGATTCTATGGCAGTGTGTGCTTGTCTGAGCTCGGCCTTTTGCCTCTTTCAGGTGTCCCTTCTGCAGACACAGCTGGCAGGAGAACGAAAATCCAAGCAGGACTATATTGAGTGCTGCTCAAAGACCAGCCAGGAGCTGTCAGAGCTTCACCAAGAGCTGTCTTGCTCCTTAGCAGCCGTGGTCAGGGAGCCCAAAGCTGCTGTTCTGGAGGCAGAGACGTGGAAGCTGAGCCAGTCTCTGAGCCTTCCTTTGCCGTAGGGGAAGAGCTGCAGCGCTGTGGGGTTCCTGTGTTGCGCCCTTCCCCGAAATGTGTTATGTTGTGCTGTGGGAAATGGGGGTGCATTTCTTCTGTTGGCACTGAGAGCAAGGGCCTCTGACCAGGAGAAGCTGGAGCTGTGTAAAAGAACAAGAGCTGTGTGCAGAGAAAGCCCACCTGGACCAGTTACTGAAGCAAGCAGAGGAGCAACAGGATATCGTTGCCAGATTTCTGCTCAGAGCCTGTGCAGTGTCGTGGAGAAATAAGTGCATGGAAAAAATAAAAGCGGAGAGAGTCTTGGTATGCAGTGCAGGAACTGGCAGGAAGAACCTACTGGGGAGGGCTGTACGGAGACTGAGGAGGCACACTGTGATGGAGGGCTTTGGACAAGGAAGATGTTTTAGTGGCTCATCAGGTTCATCCTGCTTTTCCAGGCCTGCCACTGACCCCATCCACAGAAGCCAGCACCAATTTTATCCCACCGCTGCTTCTGCTGGGGAGCCTGCAGTGAACACTCTGCTCAGAACTTTTGTCATGCGTCAGGACTCGTGCCTTGAGCCAAGCCCCTGCCACAGTTCACCTGCTACAGCAGGTCCCCAACTTGGCTCCTGCTCAGCCTTTGCTGTGCACTGGTCCTGTTCCCTCAGGTCATCGCTCCTGCTGGATCTGGCTGTTGCCTGCAGCGGCTGTCTCTCTGGAGGCTGATGGCCCAGCAAGACTAGTGCCAGGTTCAGTGCCAGAGCTTGTAGTACTGGAGCAGGGAAGGAAGGAAGGAAAAACCACACTCCCCTGCTCCACCTCCCATCCCAGTACATGAGCTACAGAGGCTGAAGCGATAGTGGTTCTAACCTGTGCAGGGGGCATCGATGCACACAGAAGACAATTCCCAGCCCAGGGTGCAGGTAAATACTTGCGTGCCCTTTCTCCCTGTCTCCCATATTGCCCAGGGAGTTGTGTCAATAGGGGAGCGTAACCTGCAAATAAATCTTAATCATGTACAAGGCTTGGTTTGTGCTGGATCTGGTTGTTTAGGTAAACCAGGAAGGCTCGGACCCACATTAGATGACTCAAACCAGTCAGGATGGTGTAGGAAACCGAAAGTCTGTAACTACCTTGCCTTTGATTATGGCTTCCTACAGAAGA